TTGAAGATGCGCAAAAAAGATTAGCAGAAAGAAAGGAAGAACATGAACAGTTCAGATTAATAAAAGAAGATAAGAATTCAGAAGCAAAACACTCAAGTATAACGGAAATCAACAACTAAAACAAAAAAGAAAACAAGAGAGGTAAAAGCAACTCTAAGCAATTAGTTGAGAAGGTAAGTTTTTCTAAATCAAAAGTAATTCTCAAAGAAGAAGGAAAAGAGAATCATGCTACGCATGAAAGAACAAGAAAAAGAGATGAGCAAACAAGATCTGAATTAGAAAAGCAAGCAAGATTAGAACTAAAAGATATATACATATGCAGAAGTAGAAATAAAAATGCTAATATTTATGAAAGCAAAAGTGATGAATTGACTACTAAAAGACAAGTAACCTCCTTCGAAGAAGTCAATAATGATTTAAACAAGATTACTATATGGGACTTACCTAATAGAACAAAGAGATCTCAAATCTTTAAAATAGTACGACGTATAGGAAGAATTGAGTATATTGAAATAATAAGAAGTTCTATGGGTAGAACTAGAGCCGTAGTAGAATTCAAAGAAAATACATACAACAAAAGACTTCTAGATAAGACATGGTGTCTGCCTTTCAGTGATCACTTACTTGTAAGATTAACAGCAGGAGTTGACAAATATGATATGCTATACATAAGAAACAGATTCAATACAAGACTCCTTAATCTACCAGAAAATACAAATGAAATCCTTCTTTGCAGACAAGTTAGAAGATCGGGTATGAAAGCATTACATATATTCAAAAACACAAACGACAACAGAATGAGAAGCGCAACAGTATATTTTGAATCAGAAGAGGACCTAACAAGGAGTTCAAAGTTTGCAATATATTACAATAATATTAAGCTAAGATGAGCAAACTGTGAGGCAAACAACACCAAAGAAGTATTTAGTGAAGAATATAATAGACAAGAAACTACACAAATAAGAAGTAACAAAAGCTTAGGAAAAAGAAAAGAATTAGATTTAGACCCTAAAGTAGAGTGCTCCAAATACACACAAAATATGGAGTATAATAGAAGGAGTAACAGATACGAATCAAAGAGTACACCAGAGAGAGAAGCCTCAGAAGCACTATGGAATTGGAGAGATACAGTCAGTAATGAACTAAGTAATAGTGAAGAAATAATAGACAACATATCAGAAAATCTTTTGCTCTTAAAAAGAAGCAGACGAAACATTAGAACAGTGCTCAAAAATCAAGATTATCAAGAAGATCAAGAATCTTCCCTGAATTTTATATTGCAACAGCTTCAACACTTAGAAGAGGAACTTGCTAATATAAAGAAAGTAGGAGTGAACCACTTCTAATAGTAGCACCAGTTGAATTAAAAAAATCCTAGCACAAACAAGAAGGAAAACTTGCTCAACAGCGCAGGAAAAATTCAGTCAATAATCAAACCAAATCAGACTTTAGAACATTAAAAGTAGCTACACACAATATTAACAGACTGAAAGCTAATAGTCATAAATTAGATTTAGTAACAGAATGGGCAGCAGATAACTACATAGACATATTAGGAATTAATGAAACAAATATCACAGAGCGACAAGGCAAATTTATACTCAAAAATAGGAATAACTATATAGGATTTTGGACTGGAGCACGTGAAGACAAACTAAAAGGCTCTGGAGTAGATTTAATAGTTAGTAAAATATGGGAAAAACATATAAGATGGGTAACAAGATATAGTAACTACTATATTGACATACTAATATTATTTAAAAAGTATAAATTACTAGTGATTTGTGTATA